CCTCAGAATCCATTCCAACAACTCACCGACCACTGATGTCAGGCTCACCAGTCTATAGTTACCAGGATTCTCCTTACAGCCTCTCTTAAATAAATGCACTTTAGCCTCCAGTCCTCCAGCGCATCAATTGTGGTTGTAGATGATACAAATATTCCTACTTTTCCCTAGCCTCCCACAGCATCCTGGGATACACTTGATCAGATCCCCGAGATTTATTCACCTTTATGTTTTTTAAGACTTCCAGCACGTCCTCTTCTGTAATGTGAACTGTTTTCAAGACATCAATATTTATTTCCCCACGTTTCCTAGCCTCATGTCATTCTCCACAGTAAATAATGATGAGAAATATTTGTTTAGTATCTCTCCCACCTTCTGTGGTTCCACACATCGATGAACTCATTGATTTTTAACAGGTCCCATTCTCTTCCCACTTGCTCTTTTGTTCTTAATGTACTTGTAGAATCTCTTAAGATTAACCTTAACTTTATCTGTCAAGGCAGTCTCATATTCTCTTTTTGCCCTCCTGATTTCCCTCTTAAGTATGCCCCTATACCCCTTACACTCCTCAAGAGATTAATTTGGGTCCCAGTTGTCAACATCTTAACATAAGCCTCAATATCTCTAGTTATCCAGTGTTCCCTACTCCTATCAGCCTTACCCTTCACTCGAACAGGAACATATTGTCTCTGAACTCTTGCTTTCTCACTTTTGAAAACCACACACTTGCAAATTGTCCCTTCACCTGCAAACAGTCTATGCCAATCGACTTTTGAAAGTTCCTGTTTCATACCATCAAAATTGGCCTTTCTCCAATTAAGAACTTTAACTTTTATACAAGGCCTATCCTTTTTCATAACTGTTTTAAAAATAATAGAATTATGATCACTGGTTCCAAAGTGGTCCCCAAGTAACACTTCAGTCACTTGACCTGCCTTATTTCCAAACAGAAGGTCAAGTTTTGCTCCTTCTCTCGTACCGACATCTACATATTTGAAAGGAAAATTTTCTTGAACACATTTAATAAATTCCTCTCCATCCAAGCCCTTAACACTATGGCAGACCCAGTCTATGTTTAGAAAGTTAGAATTTCCTGCTATTACAACCCTATTATTCTTACAAATATCTGCGATCTCTCTACATATTTGCTCCTCAATTGCCTGCTGACTATTGGGGAAACGATAGTATAACTCCATCGAGGTGATTATCCCCTTCTTATTTCTGAGTTCCACCTACTTAGCTTCACGAGACAATCCCTCAGGAATATCCTCTCTAAGTACAGCAGTAATGTTTGCCCTCATCAAAAATACCACTCCCTCTCCTCTCATTCTTCCCTTTCTATACTTCCTATTGCATCTAAACTTTGGAACATTGAGCTGCCAGTTCTTCCCTCCCTCAGCCATGTTTCTGTAATAACTATGATGTCACAGTCCCATGTTCCCTTGCATGCCCTGAGTTCACTGCCTTACCTGTCAGACCCATTGCATTGAAATAAGTGCAGATTAATTCTTCAGTTTCCTCATTTTCTGACTTGCTCTTGCCTGCCTTGTCTAATTAACCTGCTCTCTTTAACTTCAGAATCTCCTCATTTGTCTTTCTACTCTCATTATTACTTAGGAACCTCCTTCCCACACCCCCAGCACCCCCTCCACCCCCAAACTAATTTAAAGGCTCCTAAATAGCACTAGCAAATCTCCCTGCCAGGATATTCATTGTCCCTCCAGTTCAAGTGAAACCCATCCCTTTTGAATCGGTCTCTTCTGTCCTAGAAGAGATCCCAATGATTCAAAAATCTGAATCCTTACACATACAACCATCTCCTCAGTCACTGATTTATCTTCTCTATCTTCTTATTCCTACTATCACTAGAACATGGCATTGGGTGCAATCCGGAAATTCCTACCTTTGAGGTTCTGCTTTTTAACCTCTTCCCTAATTTCCTAAATTCACTTGCACAGCCTCAACCCTGTCTCTAACTATGTCATTCTTACCAATATGTACAACAACCTCCAGCTTCTCATTCTCTTCACTCTCTGCATCATGAGGTAAGGATTAAAACAGCTATGAACTGAAGAAAATGATATCACCAAAATTCTGGATGCATTTGTGTGTGGAAGTTTGGGAGATGCTGCGCAATTGCTCCTTGAAATCAGACGGAAGCAGAAAAATTCAGGGCAGCTGTGATCTTGACAGCCACTGGGATAGGAGTGCCACCTTCTCAGGTGCAAGTCAGATGACACAGATCCATGATGATGGCCTGGGACATCCTGAACTGGTGACTGCACTATTTTTTAGACAATGGAAGAAAAGGACAGTGAGGTATGTTGGTATAAGGTCTCATTCCTTCCCTCCTTCTCCTGGGTGAATTTTCATCTGCTGCTTCCTCTCTAGAGATTGTGTGACAGCTGAAGGTCGCTGTCATTCTTGCTGAGCTTGCTGACGATGGTGCAATTGCTCGCTCCCTCTTTGCTGTCTTCGGATTTGAAGCAAGACCACAAGGACTCCCACTCCGGCGATGTTCATAGCAGATGCATGAACTGAAAATCCATGGGGAAGGTCAGAAGGATCATACAGTTTTATTGAAGGAGTACCTGAGCCCTCATATCTTTCACAATGAAGACTTATGTTATGCCCTCACAGTATGGCATGGAGGCTTCGCAAGGTCATTGTCATGTCTCCATGAGCACCGAGGAATGTCACCTTATCCAAACGTACATTACACAACCAAACTGTGATGTTGATGTCGTACAGTGCCACACAGTGACGTGTCCACCCTCTTGACTGTTCAGAGTTCAAACTGCCCCTCCCTCAGCACTAAAAAAAAATGCAAGTCACAACGGCTGGCACCCTATAATTGAGCACTGAGCAGCCCGTGAGCTAAAAAGCAAGGCAACCCCAGACTTTCTTTTTAATACATTCACGGGATGACGGCATCACTGGCTGAGCCAGCATTTATTGACCGTCCCTAATTGCCCAGAGGGCAATTATGACTCAACCACATTGCTGTGGGTCTGGAGTCACATGTAGGCCAGAACAGGTAAGGATGGCAGTTTCCTTCCCTAAAGGCATTCGTGAACCAGTTGGGTTTTTCCAGGGGGGCGGCACGGTGGCTCAGTGGTTAGCACTGCTGCCTCACAGCACCAGGGATCTAGGTTCGGTTACACCCTCGGGTGACTGTCTGTGTGGAGTTTGCACATTATCCCTGTGTCTGCATGGGTTTCCTCCGGGTGCTTCAGTTTCCTCCCACAGTCCAAAGATGTGCAGGCTAGTGGATTGGCCATGCTAAAATTGTCTGAAGTGGTCAGGAATGTGTAGATTAGGTGGGTTATAGGGGGATGCTCTCTGGGTCTGTGTGGACTTGTTGGGCTGAAGGGCCTGTTTCCACACTGTATGGGTTCTATGATCTCTCAATGACAATCAGCAATGCATTCATGGCCATCATTAGACTCTTAATTCCTGATATTTATTGAATTCAAATTTCACCATCTGCCACGGTGGGATTCAAACCCAGGTCCCCAAAACATTACATGGGTGCCTGGATTAACAGTCCAGTGATAATACCATTAGGCCATTGCCTCCTCAAAGAGAGTTGGACTATTATTGAGACATAAATACTTGGGAATAAGCTAGCTGCTGCTCAGTAATAATATTCTGAAGTTGCCATTTAAGGCTTAAGTGAAAAATCACAAAATTTCTCCTCAATACTCAAGACTCTATTATTCTCATTATATTTTACCAACTTTCTTGCCATTACCCGTGCTATTCAAGGGAGGGGAAAATTCCACAAAGACAATAAAATCTTTCAAATTTGCTTTTGTGGTCCTCGAAACAAATATCAAATTTCTGAATACAGTCTGAAGCCTTTAACATATATTACACTTCAAACAAGACAATTGTTGCATTTTGCTTTTATTTTGACTGGCAGTCCTTTAGAGATTTCCCACAATGCCAGAAGAAAAGCAGCTTTGTCAAATACTTAATCTTCTTCAAGGTGAGTTAATTTTAAACATTAACCCTCACGTTCTGTACTCACTTTAAAGTCACATAATCTAATTATATTTTCAACATCTATGCCTCAGCAATTTAAAGACCTTGAGGAGATTCCCATTAATCCTCTTTACTGTGAAAAAAGCAAGTTCAGTTCTGCATATCTATCTGTCTGGCAGCTTTGTTGCTCCCTACCATTTGCGAAACAATTTGGAATCGAAAGTGCAGCCAAAACACTTTGACCTTTCCAATACCTTCACTCCATGTGTAGAATCTTTGGGTTCCATTGACAATGAGAACTGAGATAGGCAGGGGGCAAGTATTAAAAGGTTGACCACCAAGCTGGTTTCTCAACCCCATTCATCACATTGGCCATTTTGGCCTACTCAGGTTCAGGAAGCAAGGAGGCCATTCACCCTCAGTCAGACAAGAAATGAGAGCCTTGAAGCAGGGATTAAAAATGCCAACAGGGATTTTACAGCTGGCAAGTAAAGGTTGACTGCCTGAGAGTGAGGACCCAGGTGGCAGGCTGAGATGCCAAGGTGATTTTACAGGTCTTTCCTGTTTGCCATGGTGGAGCGAACCCAAAAGGTTCTCCTGCCACCTGCCACCCCCAACAATCATGCTGTTTGTTGTAACCTTTTGCTTAAAACTTTTATAAAAAGTGGCTGAGAGCACCTCTTCTCGTCGAGGTGCCCTCTCAGTTACTTCTCTCAAACTGCGACTGGATGTTTCTATGAAGCTGTAAGGCCCACAACTGTCTCTGTAGCTTTGGGCCACCACCTATCAATGCCACCTTGCATCCCGCCCCACACCAAAAATCCCCAACCTTAAGGCGAAAATTCAACCCCACAGCTCTGTCGCGTTTACTACTATAGCAATGTGAATTGCAGCTGTAGTAATGAACTATTAAACATAGAATTTGCTGTACAGTATTAGCATTTCAATGCATTCGTACAGTCAAATAATATCACATCCTGTCAATCAATATTATGCACTTGAAATTGGTTGAGTACCTTTTCTCTCAATGCTTCCACATGATTTCTTCATAAACGTATCACAGCTGCCCAGGGCTTCAAATCTCACATAAAGGGCATAATCTCTGTAATCTGGGATTTCGCTCTCTTCTTTATGAACTTTGAAAGGGCTATAAGAAAGATCAAAATCATTTTCAGAATGTATACTGTAGGTAAGATTTCTCAGAGGACCTTTAAATTTTCCACCAGATCCTTTTCATAACTCTTACAGTAGCCCAGTTGTCTCAAATAAAACAGCCAGGCCAAGCCTTCACCAACTCCAGGGATTAGAGCATCAGGGCGTCAGGAACAGGAGGAAAAAACCAGTTGGACCCTCGAGCCTGCTCGAACAATTAATGACGCAATGGCTGCTCTGATTGTAGCCTTAATTCTAGTCAGCATCTCAAGAGGCAAAGCCTCCACTTCCCTAATAAAAAGGAAAATGAGGTCAATAGTGAAGGAACTTGGATTTGGTATGCCAAAAGAGATTAGAAAGTCAGTCTCCTGATTTAGAGCAGACTTGAGGAGGGAAGGAGTCTGAACTCCTGAAGAAAATCCAATTGTCTCAAGCCCATACACTGACTTCATCATAACACAGACATACACAGAACTGCCCCATTTTTCACCTCAGTGTAAGGTCAGTATGTTCATATGGCAGTATGTCAATAAACACACCATGCCCATCATAGATAAAGACTCCTCATTTTGCCTGCCAGTCAGCTCATTGTCAACTAACTGGTAAATGTGGGCATTTGGCATATCTCAGGCATTGGCACTGACAATCTGACAGTGCCAGGCAATTAGATGCCAGCAGTGTTTGGGTCCTGAAGTCTGCCAATCCAGTTTTAATGTGGAAGTATGGAAGGGCAAAATGTGTCGGTGCAGGCTTGGAGGGCCAAAGGGCCTGTTGCTGTGCTGTTTTATTCTTTGTTCTTTATAATCCAGCCTTACACCTCAGGGGATCCAGCAATGAGGGATCCCTTTTAAACTCTTCCCCCAAAGTGGGGGTCAGAGGGAAAGAGGGTAATAGGGTTGGAGGGAAAGGCAGGGGCTGGCTTTCAAAGACTATCCCCTTGTCCATTCATGCCCCTCATTTTGACTATAATTACCCAAGATTTAGCAATATATACCCACCCGACCTCACACAGGCAAACCAGCAGAAAAATCACCATCGTTTCCAAACCAGAAAATTAGCCATTGTCCTCACCATCTGCATGATCAATATATTCATTTGTGGGTGTATGTATTTTCTGACACTCAGAGAGACGGACAAAACTGGGTTAAGCAGCAAGCCTTTGTGTATTTAAAATGAAGAAGGTTATTTGACTTCTCATACATTTGTCACGCAGGTAACCAAAAAAATGATGTCTCATTCGCTTGACTCATCCACATTATTGCACACACATTTTCAAAATTAGATATAGTTGAAGGTAAAACTGTAATTAAAGATTTTAACTTGGTCTCTCTTTTAGTGCAATTCTGAAGTTTCCTAGTTGACTTGATGAATTCCTGGAATGAAGGTCTTGGAAACGCAGAAATTTCTCATTAGCTTTCAGTTGGTCGACCTGGGGGTGAATCTCTCAGATGGATAAAGTTCAAGGAAAGAGAGTTCTTCTTTCTTTCAAGGTAAGTGGTTACTGATGGAATTCTACTAAAAAGCTAACTTGAATTTCTGCCTTATATTTTCACATGGGACAGCCAGCCATGCTATCATTTGTCTGTACGAGAAGTGTTGTTTCACTGTGCCCATAAGTTGTGATAGTAATTCAATAAACATTGGATTTTCATCCCCCAGTAGTTTATGTCAGCTTTGTGTTTGAAAGGCAAACTAACATTGCAGTAAAGGTTTTGATTGTCTCATCTATCATTTGGCCTGACCCACAGTGAGTCACATCTAAAGGAATGTCATCTCTATTCTCTCAAGAGATAAGGTAGTTTTTCTTCATCCGTAAAAGAAGTCTTGGGACCTCCAGACCTATCCATGTACCCATTCTAGGTACACAGATAGGTCTGGAGGTTTCTACCTCAGAGGGGATAGCACTGTACTCAAGTGAATCTTTCTTTTATAATGTGAAAAATGTAATTAGACACTATCATGCTCTCCATTGATAGGCTAAAACTCAACAAAATTGTCTTCAAAACTTCCAAAAAAGCGTAATGTTTGTCTCATGTTGTCTTTTTAGAATAGGGCTCCGCAAGCCCAGGAGCCACAGTTGGCTCCTGGAGGCCATCCAAACATCCCACAGATCCAATCCTCGCCTCTGCCCCCCATGGCACTGTGAACAAAATGAACAAAAGAGATCCACACATGCAAAATAATTGTAAGGAGGGTCAGAGCAAGTTAGTAGTTTACAGTGGCCACCATAATAAGGTCATTTTAATTTCCTGCTACACTGCAGAGAAGTTCTGGTTTTCAATAATGTTCCTTCATGTTCCCACAAAACTTGGATCACAATTTTGCTGAGCTGCTGACTCCTAACTCCAAGCAGCTTACACCTCTTGCTCTGTCTCTCAAGTAGTGAGAACAAAATTCTGCATTCCCTGTATCTGGTGACTGCTCTTCCTGCCCAGAATGATTCCCTCAGTGCTGCTATCAGGCTTCTACACATGGTGAAATGAATAATGAAAACTGGAAGAATAATACTGTGTTAATATTGATTTACTATGAGTTAGAGCGCAGGGAGTATCTTGATATATTTTATAACTTTAAAACCAAACAAGTTAATAAAATAAGACAATATAATTTAGTGAAATCATAAATTCAAAACATCTCTTTACTCAAAGGATGATAAATGTTTGGATTAATTTATTGGGTAAAGTAATTAAATCAACAATGTCTGAGGAGCTCAAGGTATTGTTGGTGACCTGGCAGGGTCAGTTAAAATTCAAGGGAACCAAGTTGATGAATTAAATGGCCATTTCTCCAATTATGTTATTATGTTAGAACATAGAACGTAGAACATAGAACAGTACAGCACAGTACAGGCCCTTTGGCCCACGATGTTGTGCCGAACTTTTATCCTAATCCTAAGGTCTATCTCACCTCCACCCCTACCTTATATTATCATCCCAATGCCTATCTAATAGCTGCTTAAATGCCCCTAATGAGGCCGACTCCACTACCCTCTCCGGCAATGCATTCCATGCCCCTACCACTCTCTGAGTAAAGAACCTACCTCTGACGTCTCCCCTATATCTACTTCCACTCATTTTTAAACTATGTCCCCTTGTAATAGCTACCTCCACCCTCGGAAAAGGTCTCTGGCTGTCCACTCTATCTATATCTCTGATCATTTTGTACACCTCTATCAAGTCACCTCTCATCCTTCATCGTTCTAAAGAGAAAAGCCCTAGTTCTCCCAACCTTTCCTCGTAAGACCTTCCCTCCATTCCAGGCAACATCCTGGTAAATCTCCTCTGCACCTTTTCCAAAGCTTCCACATCTTTCCTGTAATGAGGCGACCAGAACTGGACACAATACTTCAGATGTGGGCGAACCAGGCTTTTGTATAGCTAGAGAATAACTTCACGGCTCTTGAACTCAATCCCTCTATTAATGAAAGCTAACACACCATACGCCTTCTTAACAACTCTATCCACCTGGGTGGCAGCTTTCAGGGAACTGTGGACGTGAGCCCCGAGATCCCTCTGCTCCTCCACACTGCCAAGAATCTTTCCATTAACTCTGTATTCTGCTTTCAAGTTTGTCCTTCCAAAATGAATCACCTTAAAAATAACAATCCAGCACTTTTTACATTGCAGCAGAAGTGATTGACAGTGTGGCGTATAGGTCTTAATCCACACAATTATATCAGCTCTCAGATAAAATATATTCCAGAGAGACAACAAGTAATTTGGAAATGACAGTTGGGATCATTCTGTATATTTTAGCTTTAGAATATAATTTGTGTTCTCTCATCTAGACAATACATTCATCTATTATAAAGATTGAATGTCAAAACATAAATACGGTTATACATTAATTTCAGTATCTTTGGTGCCATTTGACTTACTCACTATCCTTTGGACTGAAGCACAAAGTAACAATGGTTTTGTTATATGGATGTAAAATCCCTTGGTATGGTTGACATGTAATCAGACCAGATGCATATGCAATTGGTGATGGCTCGTCTACCTTCCTATTTGCCAAAACTGCATCTGAACTCAAGGATATGTCTGTACCCTAAAACAAAGACAAATTAGTTTCAAAATAAAATTAAGGGAGGCTCATTTTACCAATAGCACAACTTCTTGATATATGTAAAAGTGGTAATCTGCTGTTTCATTATCATTGACACAGATGAAAATAGGCTAATCATTAAATAGAAAACATTTTTAGTCAAGTGTCCAAGCCACCACCTGTAAGTGATTGATTTTAAACAACTGAAAATGCCCTTTAAAAAACACAAAAACAACAATTTACAGTATTCAAAGATAGTAAGAACTGCCGATGCTGGAGAATCTGAGATAACAAGGTGTAGATCTGGATGAACACAGCAGGCCAAGCAGCATCAGAGGAGCAGGAAAGCTGACGTTTCAGGTCTGGATCCTTCTTCTACTCAGTCCAGTTATTTCCTTTGGAAATTATTTCTTAAGATGTAAAAATTTTTAAAAGGTGTCTGTTGGCGCCTGTGAGCCTACAAAACAGTTTAATACTAACAGCCTCCTCCAAAGGGTGTAAATTAGCAAAAACCAGAATGGTAATGAACTTTATTTGGGAATGTAGCCAGTTTGGCAAGCAGGGCAGACTTCCAGTACCTGGGCTGAATACTTCCCCCAAATTTGGCTAAGTGTCAACTTTGGGGAAGTTCATGGGTGGTTTCCCTCTATGAACCCTTGGGACCTTTCTCACACATTTGTATGCTTCTCAAGTCACAAAGTATGCACCTGCCTCCACGATGCTACTCTGATACAATGCTACACTGAGGCAGTGGTGAAATGCTCACAAGTGACAGAGTCTTTTGGCAGTCTCACCACGGGTGCCACACCGAAATCCCAGCTGGGCACCATTTCAAACTTTGCCAGCCTGGTCTGAAATCACCAACCAGTCAATGCAGTGTCTATGGTCCAGAGAAAATTACATGCAGGGCTGCAGAAAGGTTATGACCTTCTGCATTTTGTGTAGTTAAGTGCCACTATATTCTCTCTGCAACCTCACAGTCACTCTAACTCTTACATCGTACCCACCTCTCACTAGCGCCCATGGCCCACCACTCTCAATATTGCATGCAGCATCTTCAATCAATAACTCTCATCTACCTCATCCACCCAAATTATTAACCCTTTCTATGTAACTTGACGTTACTGAATACATCTGTTCAAATCATTCCAATACACTCAATGAATCAGGGCCTTATAGAGAAAAGAGCAAACTTTGAAAGAGAGAAAAAAATTGTTTAACTTTCCAGATAACCATCATGGAGATGGAGGCTTTTATTAAGCGTGGAAATCACCAAAGAGGGTGATATTTTGAAAAAATGGCTTCAAAAACAAATGAGGAATTCATACCTATGGTCATTCATTATGTGGACCACAATGTGGTGCTGGATCTTTTTATAGATTCTGAGCCAAAAGTGTATTCCCTCACAGACAACAATGTACTTTTACTTCCTAATGGAGTTCCAGTAATCTTCTTGAGTGCAGAGGAGCTGCCACCCTATTTCATCCACCTGTTCACCCTCCCGTCAAAACAGCCCATGCACCAAAATGAGAAAGAACCAAAATGAGAGTGCTGACTCTGAGATCTAGGTCAAACATGAGATGAAGAAGAAGGGAAGACACTGCTGGAAGGTAGCAAGTGTGACATGGCATGAACAAAACAACCTCGTACACAGTCCTTCCTCAATTGCTGACTATTAATCACCAGATCCACAGCTTTGCACAATTTCTCTGATGACCCTTCAGAAGAAGCTTCAGGTGTTGAAATTCTATGACTACAATAAATCAAGATCATAAATGGTAAGAATTACTTAATATTGATATAATTGAAAGAAGAGTAAAACAAGATATATAAATTTTTCAGGAAAAGTTATTGTTTGCAATCTATTTAAGAGTTGAGTATTATTTATTATGATAAGACATTATTCCAATAACATTTTATAGGCTCTCACCACTTCAGATCCAACAGCATTGTTTTCCATCACTGTCACCCAATCAACAGTTTCAGGACTGTTGTTATACAAAACAACTTGATGCAGCTTTGATGTTCCATAATAAGTACCACCAAACCGAACACAGTCAAGCTTCTGGCCAGAAAAATCGAGAACTTCCAGTAAGGTGGCAACTATATTTGCCTTAACTCTCAGAGTAGTTTCTTCAGCACCTTCCAAGTGCACCCTGGTAGGAGAGAGAGCAAATGGTAAGGAAGCACAGAACTGTTAGAGTGAAAAATAATACTTATTACTCTCCCACATTTCCACCTACATTTCCACTGAAGTTCCTCATCTTCATCAAGGATAAAAGTCTGTGAATGCCCAGTAGTTTTAAAATGTACAAGTGTTCAAGGTAGGAATTTTGCTTGAACGAATTCCATTGTATTTAAATTAATGTTGGCATAGTTTTAAAAAGTTGACATTAAACAATATTTTTTCAACGGCTTTGTTACTCAGCATAAAGCTACCTATTATTTGAGGTCAAAATTTAATGACAAGTGTCAGTATTGCTATTGATGCTTTCAGTGAAGTGCTGCACTGTGCTACAAAAATATGTTTATTTATCAGTGCAAATATGTAGGTTTATACCACCAGGTGGAAATGTCATCTAAAATAATTTCAAATCTCCGCGCTGAAAAGATTTGGAAGCAGTTGTGAGGAGTTTTAAAACTACTGGGGTGTTGTTTCAGCAGAGTAATCAAGGCTGATGCAGAATATTAGGTGCCCGAAGCAAGTCTTCAGTCTTCCACCCATCCCCCTCCCTCTACAATTAGCTTTCTGAAATGAATATTGTATATGATGCTAACTATAACAATTAAAACAATGAATCTATAATAAAAAATTTATTTTACATGAGAAAAGAGAACATTATTATACAAACTGTACATTCTCATGCTTCTGCATTTCTCATAGGCTGGGTACTAGAAGAAATGCACATTGTATTATGCCACATGGCTCTGATAATATAATACTCTGTGCTCCTGGAATAATTACTGTAAATTTTTAGCTCACTTTACACAAGCAATAATCATTATGAATAGACTAGGCTAGATTTAATTGTGCTTTTTGTTATTATTTACTGCCTTGCAGTTTTGAAACAGTCATAAAGATGTATACATTTGTAAAACTGTTGCACAGATAGCATGAGGAATATAACATGAAGTCTTGGGAAACAGTGCAATGTAGATACATGGAAATCTATAAGCTGTGTCAGCATATGTTAATGTATAATGGTAGATCTAGACCTTTCATTGCCATTGCTGAAGTGCCTTTTGCATTTATATAGTTTCACAAATAACTCATTCAGTTTTTTGGTGCACCCAAAGTGTCCTGCACTAAAGTTCAAAACACTTCATTAGTCTGATTCCTGGGATGAAGGGGATGTCTTATCAAAACTATTTTAGCAGATTAGACAGTTTCATTACAGTTTGGAAGAATGAGGGATGATCTTCACTAGTGGGAGAATCTCAAACTGGGGGGCATAGTTACAGATTAAGTTTGAAACTTTCCTGGGGAAATTAAGAATGAGTCGAGAGGGAGTTGGGGAATGGGTGTCAGGTCTGGAGAGGTGGAGAGAGGAGGGCCCAGGTTGGGTGGTGGGGAAAAGAGACACGGGTCTGTTGGTGGTGGCAGGAGTCGTGGTCGGGTCTAGCAGCAGGGCAGAAGTGTGGTCAGGTCCCAGGAGAACGAGGCATGGTGGTGAGATCAGGGGCATGGATTGAGTCTGGCAGCTGAGCAAGGGACCTGGTCCCAAGGGAGGGAGTTGGTTCCGGAGGATCAAGTTGCTGGGGGAGAGTAGTTGAGGATGTGTGAATCAAGTTGTGGGTCAGTCAAATCATAACTCATAATTTATTTCGAGCTTTTTAATAGTCTAACTTTTCCAGAATAACTATTTACTGAACTGCAGAAGATTTCCCAAATCTCTGATTTAAATGGATATTTTCGGAAGGCTCCAGGTGCAGGGAAACTGCCCAGTGGAACCTTCAATTTGGGGGCAATTCCTTCAGAGTCTGCTAGGATGGGGTTCCACAACATTCCCATGTACAACTCCCATCTATATTTAAGACAAATGGGAACACTTCAGAAAATCTAGACAAAATAAAAACCAAGAGAAATGCACATGCTGTGAATCAGAAACAAAAACAGAGGTTACTGGAAAAGCTCAACAGGTCTAGAGTTAATGTTTCGAATCCAGTGACTCTTCCTCAGACCCTTCTGAGGAAGGTCACTGGATCTGAAATGTTAATTCTGATTTCTCTTCATAGATGCTGCCAGACAAGAAAATCTAGGTATTGATTTTTATGCAGTAGGATTTAAGGTATTATTTTTCCCTGACCACTGATGCTGGCTGCCTTAGGGAAAAATAATTTGCACAGGGGCCCTGAACAAAGGGCTGAACCCCTTATTTGCATACATAAATGGCAGTGTTTTCTAGTTCAGCTTTTAGAAGTGAGTGACATAAGAATTTTCCTCCTTTTCTGATTTCTTTTTATTCTGCAAATAATTGCACTTGGCATAATGTACTAGGGAGATGTTCAGAAGATTTACAATCATCAACTCATGATTATGTGTTAATTGCATGACATCAACTACAATGAAGACTTACAGAAGCATTTCATCAAGGACCATCGGCTGGACAGTACACAGTTCAATTTTGACCAGTTGCTGTGTGTTCGGCAAAACATCTGCACTCTTGGGTGAAATAACCAAAAAAGGTAGCTTGTTTTTATCCACAATAAAAAACTGGCCTGTGGGAGGAAATCAGAATGTGAGCTTTGCATGTCTTGCAGCATCAAACTCATACAATATCTTAACTGAGGCACCAGGCAATGCTGCTCATTCTCAAAGTGAAATTCAGTCCTGCTTGGAAAAAAAGTGGAAGGCTGAAAGAAGAATTAGACTGTATTATGCATGGTGAAACCAAGGTGAAGAGATAAGGCCTGTGATAGAGAATTATCATGATAACTGAGGAATGAAAAGAAAACTGAAAAGGTCAAAAAGTTTTAAGATATTTAAAAAGAATCACTCAGAGGCTCGGGTAAGTTTTGATTTCAACACAAGGATGGGGAATAAAAAACATATGGGATGACACTTCCGAGGTTATGAGAAGAGACAATGCAAAAAAGAACTTACTCTACATAAAAGATTGCCATGCACAAAGACTGCTGACTAGTTGATTTAGGCATTAACTATTACACCCCATATCTTGTCCAGGAATACAAGAGAGATGATAGAAAAACCTCACAGTTACAGGGGTAATAAGTTAGTCATTGATAAACTTGAGCTTTCCAGTGAAATGAGGAGCTGGGATAGAAACATACATACCAAGCAGGTCTTTCAGGAAATTACTGATGTACAACCAGAAATTGAACAATATAATTAACAACAAAGACAGAAAACGCTGGAGAGGCTCAACAGATCTGGTAGCATCTTTGAAAAGAAACAGAAAGTATGTTTCTATCAATTCATGAACAATTACATTGAGCAGATCTGTATATTTGTTGATTCTGGAAGATGCAGGGGATTATTACCAGAGTGGGATCTGACCCTGAGATCTGTGCATTGCATTCCCTATATGAACAAACCTATTCTTTCACTGAGTATTCAGTATAGGTAGTGCAAACAAACTTGCATAAATCACACTGATTGCAATAAAAATTTATGCCCAGATCGCTATTTTAAAATGTACCAAACATAGATATGAATTTATCTGATAATTGTTGTCACCATCTCTTTATGAAGCACTACCATAGCATGAAGAAGGTATTTTAAGATATTCGAATACATGTGACTCAATAATAGAGCTTCAGGACTCAAATGATGCAACCATCATTTGTGGTGGTTTCTGATAGAGTTAGAACAATCAGATGACAAGCTGCCTGGGCACTGCATGACTTCACACATTTTGTTTCATTCCAAAGCTCAAGTACTAAATTTCTTGCCAAATTACAACAGTCAGTTCACAGCAAAAACATTGTTCAAGTACAAGTTCTTAGTGTCAGTGAACAAAATTCAAATTGGCAATCAAAATTCAAATATTCTGCAAAAGGATTTGAAAGTTTTTTGGGAGAAATATCAAGATGAACCTTTCAAATTCAAAGAAATCAAAGGTTAAGCTCTGAGGAAAATGGATAACTATCCAAATTGGGAAAATTCACAAGCTCTTTTTAAGCATTGCTAAAAACTGCTTTAACAAAGATGCCATGTGTGGACATGTTCAGTACGCCTACAGAGAACTGGGCCCTTGTGTGAAGACTTGTGGCTTCGAGAATGCACAATTGACTCACACAGTGAACATGGCTGATAATTTACATTGATTTCAAGTGTAAGACTGAACACAATGGAACAATGTTGTCTGACAGCAGAACCATATCTACTGTTGGAGACTTGTTCTACTTTTTGTAAGCAGGAGCAGGTTGAGCACAGTCAGCATGCTATGTTTAAGATAGTCAAAGGGACAGTCATTGGGCCTATTTATCTGCCATCACATTGGCCCTGAACCTAATATCCCACATTACTCAATTGTGTGGCAGGCAGAAATATTTTTGGCTTGACAGTAGTACCTGTTGGGAGAGAGTGTCACACGTGTTTATTGCAAAGTTAGCAGCATGAGACGGCGAGCTCCACCTGTTGTTCAGTTCTTTTCCATTCATGGGATGTGAGCATCACTAGTTATTCCAGCATAATTGACCACCCCAACTGCCTGAGAGAAGTTGACAGTGGAGTTAAGTAAACTATTCAGCCCACTGATTCTGCTCCACCATGCATTGAGACCATGGCTTATCTGATAATCCTTAACTCCACTTTACTGCCTTTTCCCTATAACCTTGAAATCCCTTACTGATTTAAATCTATCTCAGCCTTGAAAATACTTAAGGACCCAACCTCTACAGTCCTCCACAAACAGATTCACGACCTTCTGAGAGAAAAAAAAATCCTCCTTATCTCTGTCTGAAGTGAGCGATCCCTTCCTCTGAGATTGTGCCCTCTGGCACAAAACTCTTCCCACATGCAGGAAATAACCTCACTGTATTTACCCTGTCAAGCCCCTAAGAATCTTTTATGTTTCTATTAGTTTGCCTCTCATTCTTCTCGGCACAATGAGTACAGCACCAACCTATTAATCCTCCCCTCATAAGCAAATGCTTCCATACCCAGGATCAACCTTGTGGATCTTCTATGGACTGCCTCCAATGCCATTATATAATTTCTGAGATCATAAAATCCCTACAGTGTGGAAACAGGCCCTTTGGCCCGACAAGTCCACACTGGACCTCAGAGAATCCCACCCAGACCTACCCCCTATCCTATCCCTGTAACCTTGCATTTCCCATGGCTAATCCACCTACCCTGCACTAGACACTATGGGCAAATTAGCATGGCCAATCCACCAAACCAGCAAATCTTTGGATGATGAGAGTTAACACGAAGCATACCAATGCAGACACAGGGAGAATGTGTAAACTCCACACTGACAGTTTCCTGAGGCTGGAATCAAACTTGGGTCCCTGGCGCTATGAGGTAGCAGTACTAACCACTGAGCCACCGCGCCACCTGCATATTATGGAGATCTCATTTTATTAGCTTGTAAATGCTCAGCTTTCAAACAAATGTAAAGTCCCCACCTACACTCACCTTTACTGGCTCCATCCCCGCCTCTTCGACCTGTCTGTTTCCTCTCCACCTATCTTCTCCTCTATCCATCTTCTATCCACCTCCCCCTCTCTCCCTACTTATTTCAGAACCCCCTTCCCCACCCCCATTTCTGATGAAGGGTCTAGGCCCGAAACGTCAGCCTTTCTGCTCCTATGATGCTGCTTGGCCTGCTCTGTTCATCCAGCTCTGCACCTTGTTGTCTTGTAAAGTATATGAATGTTTTGTTTTCACAAGTTGTTATTGAGGAATAATTACCTGAAAGAGTTCCATGATTTCGAACATTCACCTCCTTCACAAGTACTTTACTATTGGCTGCCACAGTGCCAAAATCAATTTCTGGATCAATGCTAAGATCACAAACAGATACAAACCTACACAAGAAGACGAAAACAGTGTGATCACAGCAATTAATTCTAATATAAGCAATTTAATGAATCCATTAAAATGACAGAAAAAAGCTAAATTAGGATTATTCTGTTCACACCAAGCTACATGAAGTGACATCACTGTGATGCAATCTTAAAGCCTCACATCAAGAGTCAGGCACTGAATCTCGAAGAAATTGATATGACAATAGAAAATCTGGTAAAACTTCTCAATTCTCAACAAGTATAATTTCTGTTGGCTAATAAGCAGTACAGCATTAACAAGAGCTGCAAAGCATCCAAGATTGCACTGCACATCTTTGGAACAAGAAATATGTTCATTGTGGCTTTGATTTGATTTGGTTGATTGTTGTCACTCCTGTGAAGCAATTTGGGAAGTTTCATTATCTTAAATGCACCACATACACTTTAGAATATTCCTTTTTTTAAGATTCTCCACTGATCATAAATATGTATAATAAGATTTTGTTTTGATTTTATTGGGATCATAGTGTTGGAAGCAGCAAATTTTGGCTCAGTGTACTATTCTTGCTTAGCATAGCCTCTTATCTCTCACCCACCTTCCTGAAAAAATGCCATCCCCTATTCCCAATTCCTTCACCTCCGCCGCATCTACTCCCAGGATGAGGCATTCTACTCCCGAACATCTCAGATGTCCTCGTTTGTCAAGGACCGCAACTCTCCCCACTTCAGTTGTTGAGAACGTCCTTGACCGTGTCTCCCGCATTTCCCACAACTCATCCCTCACATCCCCTTCCCTCAATAACAACCAAAACAGAATCCCCCTCGTCCTCGCGTACCACCCCACCAACCTCCGGATCCAACACATCATCCTCTGACATTTCCGCCATCTGCAATCCGACCCCATTACCAAAGACATTTTTCCCTCCCCACCCTTATCTGCTTTCCAGAGGAACCACTCTCTCCGTGACTCCCTTGTCTGCTTCACACTCCCCTCCAGCCCCACCACACCCAGCACTTTTCCCTGCAACCACAGGAAGTGCTACACCTGCCCCTACACCTCCCCCCTCACCCCCATCCCAGGCCTCAAGAAGACCTTCCACATCAAGCAGACGTTCACCTGCACATCTGCTAATGTGGTATACTGTATCCACTGTTCCCGTTGTGACCTCCTCTACATCGGGGAAACCAAGCAGAGGCTTGGGGACCGCTTTGCGGAACGCCTACGCTCGGTTCGCACTAAACAACTGCATCTCCCAGTCCCGAACCATTTCAACTCCCCCTCCCATTCCTCAGACGACATGTCCATCCTGGGCCTCCTGCAGTGCCACAATGAGGCTACCCGAAGGTTGCAGGAACAGCACCTCATATTTCGCTTGGGAACCCTGCAGCCCAAGTGCTGGGTGTGGTGGGGCTGGAGGGGAGTGTGAAGCAGACAAGGGAGTCACGGAGAGAGTGGTTCCTCTGGAAAGCAGATAAGGGTGGGGAGGGAAAAATGTCTTTGGAACCCTGGTATCAACGTGGACTTCACAAGCTTCAAAATCTCCCCTCCCCTTACTGCATCCCAAAACCAGCCCAGCTTGTCCCCACGTCCATCCTTCCTCCCACCTATCCCTTCCTCCAACCTCAAGCCCCACCCCCATCTCCTACCTACTAGCCTCCTCCTGCCCCCTTGACCTGTCTGTCCTCCCTGGACTGACCTAACCCTTCCCTAATTACCCACCTACACTCACCTTTACTGGCTCCACCCCCACCTCTTTTACCTGTCTGTCTCCTCTCCACCCATCTTCTCCTTTATCCATCTTCTATCCGCCTCCCCCTCTCTCCCTATTTATTTCAGAACCCCTTTCCCCTCTCCCATTTCTGAAGAAGGGTCTAGGCCCGAAACGTCAGCTTTCCTGCTCCTCTGATGCTGCTTGGCCTGCTGTGTTCATCCAGCTCTACACCTTGTTATCTCAGATTCTCAAGCATCTGCAGTTCCTACTATCTCTGGCCCTAAAATATTGTCTTGTTTAACATTGTTTCACTTCAATGTCAATCTATGAATAGAGCTTATGTGTCCATTCCATATTGTGAGACTTGTATTACTATTGTTTCCTGTCAGTCCAACATGGGCCCTCTTGATCCAACTGGGGCCATTTGGAGCAGCCTTTCCCCCTCCCTAACCCTTGAAACTGTGGCCTCTCCCACTCCCTGCATCTCCCAGTCCCTGAATGACTCTCACGCTGACCCTAACTCTCACTGAGCCTCTCACTCTCTCATACTCCCAATTTCTGCATTCCAGTCCTAAGCATTCAAGATCCACATCTGATTCAAAACTGGAGCTCTGGCATGGTGAAAATGTGAGTTCATTGTGCAGAAATGCCCAGGTAGGACTGTCACAATTCATTTCTTTTAAAATGACTAGCGAAGCTGATCCTCCTGATGCTCACTACTCGTTTCCAGAAACCTTGCTGACATGAGGGTTTGGGCGAGGGAGGTGGTGAGAAGGTGGTTTAAAACATGGATTATAATACTCAGCTGGGCACTTCTGCATCATCATGACCTGCAATTTCACAAACCTGGAGCAGCTCCGACTTCAGATCAGTTTCACAAGAATGTAGGTTCAGGAGGGGGAATCAGTGATTTAGGAGAGTCAGGGAGCAGGAGATTCAGCAAAGATGATGATCAACAAGGGGGAACGGTCTGGGACTGTGAAAGAATTGCAAGTTGGAAGTGCAAGAGAACAGGAGGATCAGAGAGCAGGATATATCGCAAACAGGAGGTTCAGGAAGCAGGATCAATGATGATCTAGTTTACTTCTAAGATACACTTAAAGGCCTAAAATTTTAATGTTTTTGTAGAGGAAAATCCTACAGAACCTTACTGCAGTTTTTACGTTGATTTTAATAGGAACTTGTTGTTTCCCTTAAAATCATAATTTTCAGGAATGCAATTACAACTTTAAGTGAGAACTTACTTTATGCTCTTTCTTTTTGAATTACAGAATAATACATACGCAAGTAGTGGAATCTTAATAAGATCTTCATCTATGGATACAATGCATTCACCCTTTGTGTCTTCTCTTTTGTCTGCTGAATATTCTATTCTGGCTGAAATCTGTACTCCAGGTGCAATTTTATTTTCCTTATTGTTCACAATGATCCTGAATAACTGCAAAGCAAGAAATAAATGTTTACTGTATTGAATTCACTCAGTTAAACTTTTCATTCCGCCAAAACATCTTAACTACCTACCAAAACTGCTCTTCCATTTGAAGGCAAGTCTACAGATTCCACCACAGTCACTTCAGCACATTCAAAAGGATTTGTCGTCACTGTTTATGCACTGCCAGCTCAGAATTTAAACATCTCTTGGAGCCCATCCAATATCTTAATTTGGAACTATGGTGCCTCTTCCAACACTGTCATTGCAAGCTTGCACTCCCATACAATGGGTTTTATCCAGCTGTCCCTGTTCATACGTGCCACATAAGTATCACCTTGTCTGCCAAGTTAAATAACTTTTACAACAGCTAATTGTTATACAACAAAACAGGGTGACTGAATTCCTAAGACATTGATGCAGCTCCTTCCAACAATGCAAGGCATTCCATTCTGCGGGCTTTATGTTGTCATCCACACCTCATCATGTAATTATATATCAAGCCGCTTGAAAGCTGCCACAAAATATTCATCCTATCCAATTCTACACTCTTTTTATTCCTAAATAGTATATTTTGACAAAATGGGCAGAAATACATTTCAGTTAAACACAGAAACTGGCCACTGAAACTAAACAATTTGTGTGTCAGCTACTTTCACACTAGTAAATAGTTCTAATCACATTTATCCATTTTGTTAAAATATTCCTTCATTGCCTTCATCCACCTTTCCAATCCAATGTTGAATGTTACATTTTCTGTCTCAAATACTAATCCTGGAAATAAATTCCACATCCTCAAACATCTCAGCGTAAAGAAATTTCCCTTGCTTTCCAAACAAGTCTTGCACATAATCTTATATCTCTGGCCCCTGTGTTGAATGTTGTTATATTGTCTGTAAAGAGCAAGGAACTAATTAGCTAGGAATCAACTCTATGCGTAACTGTTTAGTGCTATCATTCATAACTGCAATAGAGAGTCAGATCTTTGTTTAACATACTCTTGCAATCACCTAATGGATAGCGAGTTGAAATTAAACAAAAGTAATCTCTTCTTTCTGACCTTAAAGGGTGAATATTTCCAACATCTGTGAACCAAAAGACAACCAAAACCATTTGGCGGTACCAGTGAATAAACCCAAACCATTTTGAATTAATTTAATGCTGATCAGCAATATCAATCCAAATTAATGTCACGAGAGAGAGAGAGACAGACAGAGAGAGAGAGAGAGAAAGAGAGAGAAACTGAATGCATCATGTGAAAATAAAAAACGGAACTCAACTGGCACAGCAATAAATGCACACCCTTAGTCTAAAATGAATTGGGATGATGATGTTGCAGAAGCACTTAAAATGTTTAAATAAAAAGGCTGAGTTTGTGCCCAACACAGTCACTAAGTGCAGCACTGCAAACACATGCAAAATCAGATTGTAGCATTTACCCTCACATTAGCTCGTCTGGGTTAGGAGTAAGAAATTAGCACGGTGATCATGCTAAAAGGGCAAGCAGTTCATCTTTTTCTGATGACGTAGTTCAATCGAATCATTCATTTCATCCATTGGTATTGAACTGCCAAATGAGGGACTTGGGATTCGCTCTGTCAACAGCATTAAATTTTGATAAATTGTACAAGTCTCACCATATTCAGCACAAAGAATACGTCTGTCTCATCTAGATAACTTTGTGGCAAAAATCCCCTTTTAAAAGGTCAGTTCATGGATGCAGACTAAAGTGGCTGCGGTTTAGTGGGAGATTAAGTTCACTGAGAGTGGGCACATAACACCATGCATGCACAGATGACTCTGGGCCGCCATTTTGAAAGATGGCTTATGTTGGTAACACATGCTCCGGCATTCAGCAGTTGCCTAAAAGCCACTAACAATAAAGAGGGAGTCAGCCATATCCTGTGATCTGATTAAAATTATTTACTTAAGAAGACACCAGAAATCCAAACGAGGTTTTGAAAGATTCGGCACCCACCTTCAGCCAAAATCAAATCATTGGATTTGCCAGAATGAATTTCAAGGTCTCAAACAGGAGTTACGTGAGCTTACTGGCAATCTTATAACAAGAAAGAAAAATGCAGCCTGCAAATGTAAGTTTAAGGACACAGATGAAAGGCTATTAAGGTATTCTGTACAACCTGAAAATACAGAAAAAAAAACTCATCAGAAAAAGCGAGCTCACAAGATTGCTGACTGCAAACATTGCCAGCATGCATGGAGTCACAAGCAGACAGATGAAAATGCTGACTACTCAAACAGATGGCCTTCAATTAAGCCAAGAGAAATGCAGCAGGGTTGATGCAGTGAACCAGCAGCAAAAAGTGTACATCAAAGATAGAACGACATGCAAGAGCTGTGAACAAAAATAAATATTCACAATTGGAAGGAAACATCAAAAATATGTGTCAATCTGCAGTGCTAGTGGAGAAGCCAATCACTGGGAAAAATTTGCAGAGCAAAGGAAGAAAGGGACAAATGAACCACCAGAGCAAAAATAACGGGGCAAATTAGAGAAAATAAGAACAAATTGCCATAGACTGGAAGATGCAGGTTAACTTGAGAACAAAATTAGACATAGGAACTTCCTGAATAATCTGAATGTCACAGTTCCAAGAGAAAAGAAATCCACACAACAATTCAGTTTAGGAAGAAGGTGAGAAACGAGCCAGCAAAGAAAAACCCAAAAAGATGAACATTAATACTGGAGCACAAATGAACTCAACCTGCTCATTCCATTCCATTTCCTAGATATTTGTAAGATAATGGTTATCCAAGGAAAGATATTCTGAAACCAAAGAATGACATGCTAACAACATACAGGGGAAATTGAAATTCATCAGCTAGGATCAATCCAAACCAGTAGGAAACACAAAGGAAAGGATATTAACTCTCTGCTCTACATCACTGAAATAGATGATCCTGTTGTATTGGGGTTGCGCAGCTCTCAAGAGCTGCAGATTATCTCAGTAAACCAGGAAGTGAAGAAGGAGGTGCCAGAGTTGAGGACAGTATACCGGCTCATTTGATTAAAGGGCACATTCCAAAGAAGACCTGGTACAAATGTACCCAGAGTCTTTCAATGTAATGGTTGGAAAATTTAAAGATTTTGCGCATTACATTCATCCTGAGGTGAAACCAATGATTCATCCCCATGTAGTAAAACTAGAAGGCTATAAAGAGAGCTCCAAGAGATGGAAGAAAATAGGATGATCACGAGAGAGAAAGTGCCTACAGATTGGGTAAATGGCATGACGGTGAGCGGGAAGCCAAATGGATGGCTAAGAATTTGCCTGGAACCCAAAGATTTTAACCAGGCCTTCAAGTGGGAACATTACCCTATCCCAATATGGTTGAGATCAGACTAGCACTGACAGGAGCAAAATATTTTCAGCAAGTTCAATATAAGAAATGGCTACTGCAATATGAAGCTAGGCACTGCTGACAACAATTTTCACACTATTCATGAGTTTACCTCTTAGCCTTAAAGTGAACCAGGATATGTTCCAACAGAAAGTAGATGATTCATACAAAGAAGCAAAAGAGCACACAGCAAAGTAGACGATATGTGATATTTTATATATACTGTAGATAGGCAATATTACGTTTGTCAGAAGGCACAGAAAGGCAAAATATTTTGAAACAGTGAGAGATTGGAAAGTGTGGGTATCTAAAGGGTTCATGTTTTGTTCATGTTTTCACTAAAAGCTAATAAGCAGGTGCAGCAAGAATTAGGAAGGCAAACGGTATCACAAGAGGATTTGAGTACAGTAATAAGGATGTGCTGGTGCAGTTGTATAATGCTTTGTGAGACCACACCTGCAGTATTGCGTATGTTTTAATCCCCTTCTTTAAGGATGCCATAGAGGGAGTGCAATAGAAATTCACCAGATTAATCCTGGGGATGGAGGAATTGTTTTATGGAGAGGTACTGATGACACTGGGTCTGTATTCCCCAGTGTTTCAAAGAATGCCTGGTCATCTCAGTGGAACTTTTGAAATTCTTACAGAGTTTGACAGGGTGAATGTGCATGAAATATTTCCCCTGCCTGGTTAATCTAAAAATAGGTGACATAAGGAGGAATTTCTTCATTCAGTGGGTGGTAAATCTTTGGAACTCTTTATCCCAGAAGACTAGATTTCTGAAGATTAATGAATTGAGGCATATGGAGTTAGTGTGAGAAAGGGACATTGAGGTAGAAGCCCAGCCTTCAATGACAAAGTAGACTCAATGGGTTGAATGATCAACTCCTATCTACTCCTGCTCCTTTGTTCTGAGATAAAGTCAGGGAGAGAAGCCTGAACACCAGGATCAGTTAAATTCGCACAAATGCACCGTAAAAGTGATGAAATGTCCAGTTCTTTAGAATGGTGTGCACACCTAGTGAAATCAGGCTGAGTCCTGAAAGAATTGTGTCTATCTTTGGGATGGAAACCTCAAGAGATAAGGGAGAGCTGAGGAGTCTCCTTGGCTTGATCCAATACATAAACTCTTCATTTTGCAAACCTGTGTGAGCAGGAGACAAACAAATCAAAGTTACTGACTCCACTCAGCAAGTAAGATAGGTATGGTCTGAACATACGCAGCCAGAAGTATAAAAACCGAAAGAACTGCAGATGCTGTAAATCAGGAACAAGAACAAAGTTGCTGGAAAAGCTCAGCAGATCTGGCAGCATCTGTGAAGAAAAAAGCAGAGTTAACGTTTTGGGTCCGGTGACCCTTCCTCAGAACAGAAGTAGCCAGAAGTGTGTTGGCTACTGGTCTATCAGAGATGTCATCACACTGGAAGAATGATCATAACCAAAGTGATGTAGGAAGAATTTCAGCACAAGTTCCATGAAGGCTACATAGGAATGGAGAAGCGTAAAGGCAAAGTCAAATCAGCTGGATGGGCATATAGAAAGACACTGAAAACTCAAAATACTCAAAATACAGAAGACAGCAGAAAAAGACAACAGCTAGTGTAGTAACAATCAGACTATGGCATTCTGTGGGAGCTAATCCAATCACAAAAGCAAGAATAGCACCTCATAGTCACAGGCTTATATCTGGAAGGTGAAACACTTGAGTGACACAACAATCACCTTAACGGTTGAGTTCTGTTGATTGAGCAAAGGATTTTTGAAAGATTGAAATGTGACAATAGCATACTGTTCATATGTTGAGAATTTAAGGAATTCATGAAAGAGTACGGGTTCAACATTATCACCTCCTCATCACACTACTCTCAGGGACATGGGCTTACAAAAACAAACTTTGCAAAATGTCAAGATAGAAAGAAAGATCCAAACTTTGCTTTATGGTCACTGTGACACATACCACTCACAAAATCACCTACAAAGCTGTCAAATTAAAGAAAATATAAGAGTACCCTATAAATAAAATACATCCTCCAAGTAATACACTGACCAATAAAGGCAAGCATACCAAATGCCTTCTTCACTATCCTGTCTACCTGGCACTCCACTTTCAAGGAACAATGAACCTGCACTCCAAGGTCTCTTTGTTCAGCAACACTCCCCAGGACCTTACCATTAAGTGAATAAGTCCTGCTGTGATTTACCTTTCTAAAATACAGCACACCATATTTTTCTACATTAAACTCCATCTGCCACTCCTCAGCCCATTGGCCCATCTGATCAAGGTCCTGTACTCTGAGGTAACCTTCTTCACTGCACCTCCAGTTTTGGTGTCATCTGCAAACTTACTAACCATACCACCTATGTTCACACCCAAATCATTTATATAAATGACAAAAAATGGTGCACCCACCCCCAATCCTTGTGGCAAACTGCTGGTCACAGGCCTCCAGTCTGAAAATCTGCCCTCCACCACCATCCTCGTATTCTACCTTCAAACCAGTTCTGTATCCAAATGGCTAGTTTTCCCTGTATTCCAGGTGACTGAATTCCATATAGATCAGGTCCGCTGCTCTGCCCTCATCAATCCACTTTGTTACTTCTTCAAAAAACTCAAATCAAGTTAGATAGACAGGATTTCCCATGCACAAAGACATGTTGACAATACCTAATCAGTCATTGCCTTTCCAAATACATGTAAATCCTATCCCTGAGGATTCCCTCCATCAACTTGCCCACCACTGATGCCAGGCTCACCAGTTTATAGTTCCCTGCCTTTCTTAAATAGTGGCACCAGATTAGCCAACCTCCAATCTTCCAGCACCTCAGCCGTGGCTATCAATGTTACAAATATCTCAGCAAGGGGCCCAACAATCACTTCCCTAGCTTCCCAGAGTTCTTGGGTTTGGTCAGCATGGACGAGTGGGACCGAAGGGTCTGTTTCCATGCTGTACAGCTCTATGACTCTAAGACTGTAAGTATCCAGGACAAAGTGAAGTAGCAACTCAATGAAGCACAGAAAAGATGTCAGCATCTCAACAGACATGCTAAATCCCTGTCTGTGGGGATGAAAGGATAAACTCTGCTTCTATATTATTCAATTATGGAGCTTGACAAAAATTGTTACTGATTCTGAGACCCCCAAGTTCATCATAATTGAGCCTGAAACTGGTAAGCAAATGAAAAGAAACAGTCCATATTTGACCTATGTCTGAGCTGGTAAATCAGAAATGGTGATCACAATGCTAGAAACATCATCATCCAGCAAGACAACATTAGCAACAGAGAGCTACAATACCAGGAGTAATACACACATCACCAATTCACCACTGGGAATATCAAATGCCAGACCTACAATATCTTACCACCGAAGCAATACCAATTTATAAGAATACAGGCTGTAACAGACTATGAAAAAGGATTCCATTTTTTCCAAAAAAGCCAAATAATAACTTACTTCAGTTTATAATAGTTAATGATTAAAATACTGTAGTCATAAAGATAGGTGCATTACATTTTAAAGAAAGAGGGACATTATATGATGTGTATTGTCTGTTAAAAGCTAGGAACTAAGTAGCTAGGAATATGTGTTTAAGGGTTCCAGTGAGCAGTATTCATGGCTGCACTGGACAGCCAAGGCTTTTATGTAACACAGCACCAATTTAAGCAGTCTCCGAGCAGGCAGAATGGCAATTTAGAATTAAACAAAAGAGCTCGTTTCCATTCAAACTTGACGTGAGATTATTTAAAACACCTGTCAAGCAGAAGACAAAGCACCTTTTTCTCGACCTCACAGTTACTGGAAATACTTTACTAACACTTAACTTTCTATTCACTTACAATAGTTAATGCTTGATCAGTCCTATCACTTAATAATTTCTGATCTTTTAAAGTAATCACCCCATTTTTTCCTAGTCTTTTTGTATTTCCACATACAACAAAATATTTCAGTAAATCTACAATATATCCGCTCTAACATCTCAATTGCCAACATCCACATCGTAAGACATTCATGGTTTGAGGGTGTCACTGGCCAGGCCAGCATTTCCTGTCCATCCCTCTGTGCCTAAGGGGCAGTTAAGAGTCAACCACATTGCTGGGTATGGAGTCATATGCAGGCCAGACCGGGTATGAAGGGCAGTTTCCTCCCTAAAGAAGATGAATGAACCAGATGGATTTTTCAACAATTGACAATGGATTCATGGTCATCATTAGACTCTTAATTCCAGATTTCTTTATTGGCAGGATTTGAATCCGGGTCCCCAGAACATTATCTGGATCTCTGGATTAACAGTCCAGTGACAGTGCCATGAGGCCATTGCCTCCCCCTAGATGGTATAGAATCCCAACAGTGTGAAAGCAGGCCCTTTGGCCCAACAGGTCCACACCGACCCTTGGAGCATCCCACCCAGAACCATCCCCCTATGAGCCACCTAAGCTGAACATCCCTAGACACTATGGGCAATTTAGCATGGCCAATCCACCTAACCTGCACATCTTTGGACTGTGGGAAGAAACTGGAGCACCCGAGGAAACCCATGCAGACACAGGGAGAATGTGCAAACTCCATACAGACAGTTGCCCGAGGGTGGAATCGAACCTGGGTCCCTGGCACTGTGAGGCAGCAGTGCTAACCACTGAGCCACCGTGCCATCCCTGGAGACAATAATGACAAATGTTTGAGGCAAAAAATTGTACAATGCAATAGAGATGCAGTTAAAAAAAAAAGACAGTGACCAGTAAATAGCATTTCTGTTATTAAATGTCATCCCAATACTACCATTGCTGAATATAATACATGATCTTAAGGAATGTTCTCCACGTACCATAAAAAACATTCATAAATGGATGTGGATGGGTTAGAGGAATGGCCTAAAATTTGACAAATGGAGTTTAGCATGAGCTACTGTAAGGTTATCTATTTTGGTTGGAAGAATAAAAAGGCAACTTAATACCTAAATGGAGAGAAACTTCTGATTGCTTTGGTGCAGAGCAATTTGGGTGCCCTTGTGCACAAATCACAGAGAACTAATATGCAGGTACAGCGAGTAATGAGGAAGGCAAATGGAATTTCAGCATTTATTGTAAAAGGAATAGAGGTTAAAAACAGCGACTTCTGCAACTGTACAAGGCATTTGTGAGTCTGCATCTGGAGTAATGTGTACAATTTTGGTCCCCTCACTTGAGGACGGATGTAGTTGCACTGCACAGTTCAGAGGAAATTGACGAGACCGATTCCAGAGGTGACAGGTTTGTTTTGTGATGAGGGATTGAAGAATTTAGGGTAAATTCTTCTAGATTTTAGAAGAATGAGAGGAGATCTGGGATATATAAGATGCTAAAGGAGATTGACAAAGTCTCTTTCCTGGTGTGGGGCAATCTAGAACTAGGTCAGAGTTTTATGGTAAGTCAGAGAAGATTTAAGACAGAGATGAGGCGAAATTACTTCTCTCAAAGGGTCACGAATCTGTGGAATTCACTACCACACACCCAGTATTGTGGAAGCCTGGACATTTGAGTAAATTTGAGGAGGAGTTCGATTTTTAATTAGTAACGGATTAGAGGGTTATGAAGAGTGGGCAGGAAAGTGGGGTTGAGGCCGTGATGAGATCAGCCACGCAGGAGCAAATTACTACAAATGCTGGAATCTGTACTGAAAACAAAATGCTAGAGATCACAGCAGGCCAGGCAGCATCCATGGAGAGAAAGCAAACGAATATTTCAAGTAGTTAGTTTGTTTTCTCGCCATGGATGCTGGCTGGCCCATTGTGATCTCCAGCATTTTCTGTATTCAGCCATGAGATGGGCCATGATCGTGTTGAATGGCAAGCAGGTTCGAGGGGCTAAGTTGCGTCTTCTTGCTCCTACAATACTTCTTATGTTCCTATACATACCATTATTCTCTTCTTGACCTCAGCTACCACGCCTGCCCGTCCATTCAGCTCGCCGCGGTTACTAGCCTTAACCTCCGACCAAACGGCTGGAGACACCGGTAATAAGAGAAACATAATCTCCGGGGCCACCAGAGCAGATAGCAGGTAGACCAAAGTAGAGAGCAGAGAGTAGAGAGCCAGGCAGCCGGAGCGACCTAATCCCGAGCCTGGACCCGGGAACCACAAATTTATTGCAACATTCCTGCTGTCCAAGTTCAGCAGAGACGATAGAGTGGCCGCTGCAAACATCCCCAAGGAAATAGGAGGACGCAAACAGAAGTTGCTGGAAAAACCTCAGCAGGTCTAGCAGAACTCAGAACTAAGGAAGGGTCGCCCGACCCGAAACGTTAACTCTGATTTTCTCTTCGCACATGGTGCCAGACCTGCTGAGCTCTTCCAGGAACTTCTGTTTTTGTTCCTGATTTACAGCATCCGCAGCTCTTTGGGTTTTTAAATAGGAAGATGGGTCGGAGAGTCCTTAGCGGATAACGAGCGGACCCTCCTCTGTGTCTATTGAAGAAGCCTGGGAGCCCCCACTGCACTTACCTTGTGCTGAATTGGCCGCACGACAACCTTTTTGGGGCCGCTGCTAATGTTTTGCAAGGTGATTGTCTCCTGGTGTAATTCCCCTGGTTCAGTCCCAATAAATTTTACTTTTGAATGTGAAAGCCTCAGCCCCGCGATATCCATCTCTGTGCCCGCTGGGTTCACATGTCAGTCCCAGGTCTCTCTGTCCCCGTCTCCTTTCCAATGCTACCTTTCTTTCCTGATCACCAACAAACTGTCTCCAAGGGACACAGGCTCTCAGCATTCGCCGTTACCTAGCAACTCGCTAAGTAAAGTGAGCAATGTGTTCTTGCACCGTAAATTCGTAAGGAATGACATGATTTAACACCACCACCACCACGCCCCCCCCCACCCCGTGACTGCCTCGAGCACAACACTAAATGATACTTTGGAAGAAGTTGTCATTTTTGTTTAAATATCTAAAAACCCATCCTTTCCGTAATGGCGAAACTCGAAACGTAGAGAACTTAAAATTTAATTGGCATTCCCGCAGTGAAATCTGAAGTGTGAGATGGCATTTGTCAAGGCGAAGTTGGTATTGTTTGAAAATCACGGTTGGTCGACTCTATCCCGGAATTCCCTTAGTGCCAAAGGGTTATCTGTCATAAGTATGCAAAATGACCCAGCACCCACTGCTGTCTGCAGTGAAACATCCCAAAGGAAAAAAAAAATCACAACCCAAATGGAGAAATTTCTAAAACAAAAGCAGAAATTGCTGGAGATACTCAGGAGGTTGGGCAGCATCTGTGGCGAAAAAGCAGAGTTAACGTTTCGAGTCCGGTGACCACTCTTCAGACCTGCTGAGGTTCTCCAGCAATTTCTGTTTTTGTTTTAGAGTTCCAGCATCAGCAGTTCTTTTGCATTTTTTAAAAAATTTCTTTCCAGTCTGACATAATTCCTTATTCTACAATTGTGACCCTGGGATCTAGATTTATGCCAGAGGAAATACTTTCTCAGCGTCTACCACGGCAAACCCCCATAAGAATTTAATATGTTTCATGTAGATTTATTTTTCTAATTTCCAGAATTAAACCATTCAATGTCTCGTCACAGCTCAATCCCTTCATCCCAATAATCAATCCTGTGAACATTTAGTGCATTATCTCTAGGGTAGATATATTCTCCACTGGCAAGGAAACTATATATATTCCTCTCGATGCGTCTTCACCAATGTACATAAAAGCAATGTACCGCAGATGCTGGGCAGGTGAAATTAGAACACAAAGTGCTGGACAAAATCAGCAGTTCTAACAGCAGCTGTGGAGATGCTTACCTTGTGTAAGGAAGGGAAGATTTCCAAATTCTCTGATAAATCTATTGAGATTTGCTGTCAAAATATGTGTTTCAAATGATTAATGATCAGATATTGAGGGCAAAAAGCTCCATTAGAGGGTGGTTCTACAGGATCAAGGTAGGTTAATGAAATTGTCAGTGTAATCTCCATTACACAAAGAACTGCCTCACAGAATAATGAAAGATCTGTCACTCTTTACCATTCGTGTCCATTGTATGCTATCATTTGATGTGCCAGAGAAACTGTTTTATGTAAAGAGAACACCCATAAGTTCCATTTTAAATTGCACAATCAATATAGTCTGGTATGTGGAGCTCTGGGGATTTTGAAAGTCAGCCATTGAGAGCGTCTTTTTGGGAATGTGGGTGAAGAAATGGAATATGTGACTTAATTTGGTGAAACTTCGAAAACACTGATATTTAAATTGTGTCAGAGATAGTAGGAACTGCAGATGCTGGAGAATCTGAGATAACAAGGTGTAGAGCTGGATGAACACAGCAGGCCAAGCAGCATCAGAGGAGCAGGAAGGCTGACGTTTCGGGACTAGACCCTTCATCAGAAATGGGGGACGGAAAGGGGGTTCTGAAATAAATAGGGAGGGGGAGGCGGATGGAAGATGGATAAAGGAGAAGATAGGTGGAGAGGAGACAGACAGGTCAAAGAGGCGGGGATGGAGCCAGGAAAGGTGAGTGTAGGTGGGGAGTTAGGGAAGGGATAGGTCAGTCCAGGGAGGACGGACAGGTCAAGGGGGCGGGATGAGGCGAGGAGGTAGGAGATGGGGGTGGGGCTTGAGGTTGGAGGAGGGGATAGGTGGGAGGAGGGACAGGTTTGGGATTTGTTCCCCGTGCACACGCGTTATGTTGAATGAAGATCCTTCCTCCTTTTCGTTATCATCCTCTTCAGCACTGCAAGCATCCAGTCTTTCTTCAATGCTGTTTTAATATCCAGTAAACGATATGTTTCTGGATACTTATTGGGGTTTTTAAGTGCTCTTCCTATGCTGACATAGATCTCAATTTTCTTTTCTCATTCTTACCTTTGTATTTCACTGCAAGTTAAGAAATGTTATTTTTGATTTTAAAGTATCCAATAACGTTGTCTCTGACTGAATTGATTGCACATTCCATTAGGGATGTGGTCAGTCTAAAAGTATTCTCTTTAAATTTAGGTAGGTGATGATTTCTGGTCTCCATGAGTTTGAAAAGTAACATCACAGAAATATTCAGAAATGTGATTGTTTTGTACTCCTTTTTAGAAGTATAAAGTATAAGAAGCAAGTTCACTGACTACAGTTTGAAGTGAGATCCGTAATGAATCAGACCAGAAAGCATTCCTTGTACGCAAATGGGTCTGTGGTTTATACTGCGTCATAAATCAAAGTTGGTTACTTTGGAAAACCAAAAGAATAGTGGTGAGACCGTGGCAGGACACAGACTGCTCCTTTAACGGTTTTCCGGTATACCCAGTGGCTATTGTCCATTTGGAGATTGCGCTGTGACAAAGCAGAGGGCTGGCTCTGCGCATGCTCTTTCTGGCTGACTGAGAAAAACTTTTGAGGGAGCTCCGAGCAGTAAGTATTTTTTTCTCTGTGGTGGACTTTCGAGCGTATGTATTTTACTGTGAGGGATCATACGGCGAAGTTTGACGCTGTATTGGTAATTTAATACTGAAGTATTTCTTGATATGTAAAAAGAGCAAACTGTGATACATTACGATTGACGGTGATTTAAGTTCCCTTTCACTCTGTCTGAGTTGTTGTTGTCCAGCAATGCCGGCTCCATCATGTGAATTGGATCAATGCAAGAACATAGTTTTCAATCCAATCCTTTGTCTCTGGTTAAGATGAGGCAACAGGGCGGGTTAATCACCAGCGAGACCAGAGTCGCTGTATGTGTTGTTAACTACTAGGTTCTGTTTCTTGGTGTACAGGCATGTTTCTCTTTTGTCTTAGCGAAATGTAACGATCACAATAGAGCATGTTCAAACCGGTTTTATTGCTCAGCTTGGAGTTAACGAGCTGTTTTATTAAAGTTTGAGCAGTTTATGAATACAGTGGGTTTTTTTTATTCTGAAAAGTGTGTAGTTTACGCGTGTATTGTTCCTTCAGAAGGTTCGGAAAGCACAGCGGCTGCAGTTTATTGAGCAGCCAGCTGAGTAATGAGCTTTGGAAGGCTACTATACCATGTGGCTTCCTACAGCTGAGCTTGATAAGTCATGTAACCAGTTCACTCCGATCCTCCCTCCCGCTTCAGCTCGCAGTGTAGTCAGTGCCTTGGGACATGAATTTGCCTTTAGTTAAAAGCGTAGAACGAGTTCTTTATTCTGTTGAAGTTTGCTTTGGTTTTGTATAAGAGGTGGATAATATGAATGCATTTTCTCTCCCTATTTATTCTTCTGGGCCAGCAAACATTCGTAAGATTTTCTCAGATCTTTGCCAGTTTTGCTCCTCAGATAGCACCTGTTGATCTTGGATCATTCAAAGGTCTCCATTTGATTTGATTTTTCATGTTCCACCATTAAAATATTTAACCGAGTTGCCCTTTCAAAACGGCCATATCCAGAGGTCAGGGATGTACCATTTTCGATCTGGCAGTATCTGTGGAGAGAGAAACAGAGTTAACGTTTTATATCTAATGACTGTACTTCAGAACTGTTTTGAGCAGCAGTCATTTTGGACAAAAAACATTAACTGTTTCTCTCGCCACAGATGCTGTCAGACCTGCTGAGTTTCTTCAGCAGTTTCTGTTTTTCTTTATTTCAGATTCCCAGCATTTGCAGCATTTTACTTTAATACAATATTGTAAAAATGTTTTATGTTCCCTTCATGTAAGAACTTCAGTCATTACCATGCAATCAAAAAACACACTGTCAAACCCTCTGTCATTAAAAGTTATTGCCATATTTTCAACCACAATTTTCTCCAGGATTCTTGAATATACTATTGCCTTTCAAATTTGTTAGTTTTTGATTAAATCCATTCGGAATTACATTCAAATTCGCTAGCTGAGACTTGTTAAATCAGTGATAAATGACATTCACTGTAATTGTGAGTATGATGCACTGAACCATTTCATCATTTTGACCATTCAGCAATCTTTGACACATTTCAACAATACTATCCTCCTTCAAAGGATAAGCATTTGCCAATTGAGTGGAACCGTCTTCATTTGAAGCCACTCTTAATGTAGCCAGTTGCAGTAACAGCTCCTTCAACAATGCTCCGTTACATTTTTAACTTTTATTTGGAGGAGGTGATGGAGTCAATGGAGAGATCTTGACTGTTTTTCAGGTCTAATGTCGGTCATCCAGCTGAAAGAGTAACTGTCTCTTCTCGCAGATTTTGCCAAACTTGCTAAGTATTTCAAATATTTTCTGATTCCAGAAGTCTAGCATTTTAGTGTTCTTATTTTGATCTGTTATTAGCCCCTGTTGCTTCTCATTCACATGCTGCTCCTTGACATCATCTAAAAACATAGACAGGTTCCATGTGAACGGTGACACCAATCATCTGTACCTCACCACTGATTTTTGCAATCTCTTCACTCCCAGTATATTGTGAGCCAGCTTTTTGATGTTCAGCCCCAGTTAAGCCAGTTTTCTCAAATGAAATACTTGAGAAAGCCAAACCTGAAGTTTCTGTTGCAAATTCATTTGCCACCTATTCTGTTTTGCTTTGCAGGAACTGGCTTGGGTTGAAATCATCAATGTGACTTTAAGCTAAGTCTCCAGTCCCTGTGTTGTCTCCTTCACAAAAATGGCCCATTCCTGACTTTTTTTAAGAAAACACCACATCATGGTCCATAGTTCACCTATCTTTTGCCAAAAGTTTCAATATATTTGTCACTTCCAGAAGAATATTCCAATGCTTGTGTGCCATCCTTTCAT